AGGAAGTTTGGAGTTCGATGTTAGAAAATGTAGTTGGGTATGTTTTCTCCAAATATCTTAAAAGGGATGGGCCAGTAAGTTTTATAGTCTTAACAGTTTAAAAAGAGATAAAAATGTGGGAACTTAATTATTGTATCTAAGAATACACCCGTGCCATTTCCTTCATCCTTTTTGTGTTGCCAGGGGTAGAACCTAGGGCCTCTCACATGGGTGGCAAGTACTTTATTACTCACCTGCTTCTCCAGCCTGACTTGTTGCACTTTCTGAATTCATTTTTTTTTTAATCTTCTTACAGATTCAGTTGTTTGGGGCCTAGAAAAATTCCAAGTGTATACATGTTTAAATCTTTTAATTTAGTAGATAAGTATAACCTATGCCCTTTAATTCCTGTAACTGTTTTAGGATGGAGTTTCTTTGAATTCAGGAACAGCAAGTATGGAAGCAATGGATTGGTTTGTTTGTTTGTTTTTGTACCGGGGATCAAACCCGGGTCCTTGTGCTTGTGAGGCAGGTGGCAGAACCACTGAGCTAAATGCCTGGCACTATGGATTGTGTTTTTGAAGAGAACAGAGGCGTTGGGTTGTATCTCTGGGAGAACTCTGACCTAATGTGCAAGACTGTGTACAACTCCCCGCACCATAATAATAGATGTGAAATCTACAGTCATTACTGTCCCTGTGGGAAATTGTTTAACTGCTTAGTATTTTTAACTAGTAACCATTTTTTTCTTTGATAATTTTTGTGCTGGTTATTTCGCTGTGCTCATGCCAACATTACTTTTTTCCCCTCTTGGAGACTCTTGAGGCTGACCCTTGCTAACTGCCTCACAGCTCCCGGGGACTGGTTTCCTGTGGTGTAACTCAAGAGGTACTAACAGGAATGGAAAGAGGTAGTCTCTACTCTTTTCCTGTCTGCTCTGTTTCTAGAAGTGTAGCTGCTTCTCTAAGACCTACCTTATCTTCACTAGGCAGCTCCTCTTCCAGGGCTCTCAGCTCTGGATTTGAGCATGTATTTCTTTTTCCTGTTCACTCAGCCTGATAGACAGTAACCGCAGCTGCCATAGGTAATTGTCTGCATTACTTTTGCCTTATTTTTTCCTCTGTACTTGATGCTGTCTAATCACAGTCTCTATTTTTCCATGAATGCAGTTTCTTGTCAGGACCCTGAATGACAAGGAGTATTCTGCATAAAGCTTCTAAAATCTTCCTTATACCTTAGGAGTGCATAGAACAATAGAAGTGTAAGCCTTAGGAGCATAGAATTACTATAAAACTCCTATTACTCATATGAAAAATGAAGATAAAACTTGATAAATTTCTGATATGCATTCATTTATTTTAGGTGTTGGGATGGAACTGAGGGTCTCACACATCTTAAGCATGTATTCTACCACTGAATTAAATCTAACCCCCTGACTTAAAATTGTCAGCTTTATGTAAAACCTGTTTGACCAAAGGAAAATTGAAGGAAGTAAGTGACTTACAGAAGACCCTGGAGATACTGCCAGACCTAAACAGTGTCAGCCCGTCTTGTATAGACTGGCTTCATGACAAAATCATTATTCAAGTGACTGTGCTATGTGTTGGTGGTGCGAAGCTAAATGAGACCTACTTCCTGTTCTGAAGGAATGTGGACAGTCCAGAAGAGAAGATGGGGGTTGTAGGTCAGCACTGCGCCTGCCTGGCAAGTGCAAGGTCCTGAGTTCAATCCCAGGTACTGGGGAAAAAAAAAGATGTATACGTTGTCCTTTTAATAAAGCAATAGTATTCTTTCTAGGGTAATGAGATTACAAGGAAGATACATTTTTCTTTTTACAGTGACAAGGCAGTGAAGTATCTGGCAGCATTCAAGGTTGAATTTTTTGGGATGTGTAGAATTCCAGAAGGCACAAAGTACATTCATGTAGAAATTTAAAGAATGAATCCTTGGTATTCAGATCTGTATGTTTGTACTTGGGTAAGCCAGAAGCATTTGACCAAATTTCATGTATATTTCTTTATTTTTCCGGGGGGCAGTGTATCAGAGATTGAACTCAGGACCTTGCACTTGCAAGGCAGGCAGCAGAACCACTGAGCTAACTCCCTGGCCCTCAGGTGTATATCTTACAATCAACTAGATTCTATGGCTGAAAAGTTACTCTGGGGGTGGTGGCTCTACAGCTATTATGTTTTTTCATAAAGCAAGGAATTACACTGATTTTGGAGTAAATACAAGTATTAGGCTGCATTGTATAGCAGTAAAAAAGAGTGTTCTATAAATACTGTCACATATCAGGCAGTATTTCATGCCTTTAAACGTGGTAATTGTTTTGATCTTTACAGGGTCCTATGAGGTAGAAATTTACTGTTTTACTAATGAGGAAACATGTACACAAGTGATAACTAACAAAGTCAGAGCTGGGATTTTTGGCTAGGTGGTCTGAAGGGCTGTTGTTAGCCATGGTTATCTATAATGCTCTGGATCATTGTGTGCTTTTAGTTAAAAGTTGCTTGAGTTCAATTGATTTTTTAGGACAAATGTCCCCTTTTAAGTGTAAAATTACTATTGTGCTGTACTTTAAGACAAAATGAAAAACTTGGTGCAGATTCATTTTTATAGAATCCATGTAAAAATTTTAGTATCACTCTTATTTATGGAAGTTAAAATCCTTATACAAAGCTCAGGAAGAGGCCTGAAGGTGTAGCTCAGAGAGAAAGCATTGCTTCAGGTGTGAGGCCCTGGCTTCCATCTCCAGTACTGCAAGAGCCTGCCTCTGATACGTGAGTGCTTTATGTTTCAACACTTAGGAGTAAAAACAGTTCTGTTTGGTGCTTCAGCATTCTCCCTTTATCTCACTGTCTAGTGATGTCAGCGTCTCCACAAAACATCGGATTGGAGTACAGAAATAGAAGTAGACATTTGTGTGCTCTATAAAATTGAAAATCTAGTGAAAACATGTTTAGACAGCAAAATCATCAACCGTATTATTTGAGAGATGTCTATTTGTTGTTTATTGATTGTTTTAAAAGAAAACAGTTTGAGGGCTGGGGATTTAGCTCAGTGGTTCCAGCACCTGCCTCGCAAACGCAAGGACCCGAGTTTGATCCCCGGTACCAAAAAAAAGAAAAAACAGCTTGATATAAGCCAAGATGTTCATAATTCATAGCCATAACCTGTAGCTGTGCTGAAAAGGGGAGGGCCATTAATCTTGGGGGTGAGGACGGAGAATACAAGTCAGAAGAAAGCATTCCATAAGTTCTGCTGCAGATAAAAGCTTAGCAGGTAAGTTTTTGCTGGCAAATATTTCAGTGCTGATTCATTGTTAGGAATGAGAAGAGACTATAATCCTAACTAATTGAAATCTGGGCTTATTACTAAAGGAGGAATATGATTTACTTAGAGATGTAAGCCTACTAAATTTAATGGTCAAAGGGATCCTTTGGCTGTCTAATCGATGGGTAGCAGATAACGTGACCCGATAGCAAGGAATTACGTGATAATTACAACTTCTAGTGAAGCAAGAAATATGCTGTTCTGGGAAAAGTACATTTTAAAAGCTCAGTACAGTTTTAGTAGAGATACTGTGAGGGCCGGGGATTTAGCTCAGTGGTTCCAATACCTGCTTTGTAAGCACAAGGACCTGAGTTTGATCCCCAGTACCAAAAAAAGGCCTTGTTTCTTGAAAAAGTGTATTAAGTTACCCACTGGCAGCAAATTCAGGTTTATGTATTCATGGGAACATTAGTTTTAAAAATAGTGACAAAAATACCTAGATTTATGCACTGTCAAAAGACCCTATCTTTAAAAATGAAAACAAAACTCCCAAGTGCAGGGACCTGAGTTCAGTCCCCAATACCTCCCTGCCAAATGAAAACAAGGGCCAGGGATTTAGTTCAATGGTGCCACCGCCCACCTCACAAGCACAAGGACCTGAGTTTGATTCCTGGTACCAAGAAAAAAAAAAATGAAAATAAATGGGAACAAAAGCAGAAATGCTGAGGCTAAACAGGCAGACTTCCAACATAACCTACAGTCTGCAAGACAAATTTCAAAGTGCAATTTCCAAGTGAACAGATTTCTCACCTACTCCTTTTCACTTAGTGATTCTGGAAATGTAGTTTCCCTCCAAGGACAGGGATTCCTTTCAGCCTCAGTACCATGAGCAGGAGGGCTTTGCTGGGAGTGAAGGACATTGCCCAGGAATTGCTGAGACATTAGTGAGACCACATTTCAGAGGAGTTCTACTTTGCACATGACTTAAAGTTGTTAGTGACAACACACAGGAGCAGACTGAAGGGAAAATGAGAAAAATCAACATGAGCCACTGGCTCCTGGACCCTACCAAGAGGCATTCTTCGGGAGGTTTCTTCTTAAAGTCAGGAGCAGACTGAAGAAAAAATGAGAAAAATCAACGAGCCACTGGCTCCTGGACCCTACCAAGAGGCATTCTTCGGGAGGTTTCTTCTTAAAGGTGTTAAACGGGGAGAATGTTTCATCTTGAGTCTTTACAACAACAAATAGCTTTTTTTTTTTTTCTTTTCAGTGAATTTTGATTAGGTAGAAATGTCCTATTGTAAGTGGCCTAGCTTAGTAACAATACATAGATACCATTCACAGTAAATACGTCCTTCAAGGGGCTAGAAACAGGCCATCCGAACATTTAGTGGGCCCTTTAACGAGTACCTTCAAGATCTCACAACCCTCATGACCAGCCACTGCTGCAAAATGGAAGTCAGTGTCCTAGCCTTTCTCACTCTTCAGTGTTTCAAGATAGTTTCTCGGAGAAGCTGTTTTTCTGCAAAGTAGTTGTGATCACTCTGGGTAGCCCAGCCACTGATAGCACATAACTTCTTCCCTTTGGAAGACATGCTGTTGACCAAAAAGTTCATCTTCTCTCTTTATGGCAGTTCAGTTGACTCCAGCAGTACCCTTCCAGTGACCCAGAAGAATCCTTTCCCTTCTAATGGAGAGGTCTTCAGAGCACCTTGGAGCTGGGTCCTGGGCTCTACAACTACAGTTCTTTAGGAGCTAGAAGGAAGAAGAGGGGGTGGGGCAGATGCCTGTGGCTCCTGATTGTCGTCTGTGGCCAGTGCATAACGCCTGGCTTTTCTGGGGTCAGGCTCTGGTGTCTCCTCTGCCCATCTTCCCACACGTCGCACACCTTTGCCCACTTTGGGTGCGTTCCTGCAAGGATTGTGATCATATATGACCACCTTCAGACTTGACAAGTGGGTCAGGCTGGGGAAGTAACGGATGCTGTTCCGGTCCACATCAATCACCTCCAGGAAGGGCATGTGAAGCAGTACTGGGGGGAAGTCAACCAGCAGGTTACCTGAGAGCCAGATGGTCCTAAGCTCATGGAGGCACCGGAACTGGCCTGGCAGCAGACGCAAGGCATTGGAACCCGCATGCAAAGTCTTAAGGAGACTCAGCTCACACACCACATCTGGCAGTTGGGTAAGGCAGTTGGCTTCGATCCACAGGGTCCGGAGGTTCTGGAGCAGGCTCAGCTCTTTGGGAAGGTCACACAGTTTGTTGTTGCCCAGGTAGAGAATGCAGAGCTGTTTCAAGGTGCACACTACCTGGGGCAGAGCTTTGAAGTTGTTGAAATCCAAGGCCAGGATCTGCAGGTTCTGTAGCTGACCCAGCTCTGGAGGCAGGCTGTTGAGATGATTATCACTCAGGTAGAGCTTGACCAGCTCTCTGAAGGTGCACACGTGCACAGGGAGGCGGCGCAGCTGGCTCCCACTCACATCCACCATCTTGTCCAGCGGCATCTCCCGGAGGTCTCTGACCACATAGTTCTGGCAGCGGTCAGCAGGGATGAAGGCCACGAGGGCCCTGATGATGTTCCCCATGTGGACCCTGCCCACCAACTCACCCAGCGAGTGGGGCTGTTCTGCTCACCGAGGCTGCCCTGCCCTCCCTTTATAAGCTAGAGATGGAGGAGCAAAAGCCAGTCACTTTGACAGAGAAAAGTGCTCCTGATAGCAACTTGAGTGTTAGATGACAGATCCAACCAACAGACAGCAGGGGTAGGAGGCCGTGCCTAACTCACATACTTGCTTGCCATTAATCAGCTGATCCCCTTTATCTCTTATTCCAAGCAGAAAGTACGTTGTTTATTCTAATAATAAAATATTAAGATATTGATTGCATAAAGGTACAAAAGAAAGTGAAAATACAAATTGTACTATATAGAGATAAATGTAAACATTTGGATGTATGTGGACCTCCATCTTTTTTTGCTTAAAGTGATCAATTTGTTTAAAAAATTGTACCATATGAGTTTTTGTATTATATCATGCACATATTTTTGTTTGCAGGTATCTAAATAATCATTTTAGACACCTGCATACTACTTCATTATATGGATGTACAGTGATTTAAACAGTTCTCCATTGTTGGGCATCTAGGTTACTTATAATGTTTGACTATTATAAACATTCTATTTTTTTTTTTTTTTGTACCCAAGATTGAACTCAGGTCGTTGCGCTTGTGAGGCAGGTGGCAACACCACCAAGCTAAATCCCCAGCCCTATAAACATTCTCCTACCGTTCTTACAGATGTGAACAGTGAACCACTAATTTCTACAGGAAATGTCCTTAATGGTATTATTGAGTCAAAGGTATACATCTTTTAAAGGTCTTCAATTGATAGGCTCTCTGCCAACACCAAATCTGGACCAGAGCATATACCCAGAAGCATTGGCTACAGATGTCCATTTTCTTATTTCTTCATTCTTAGCAGGTAATATCTTTCCATACTTCAGAAACTTGCCTTTGGATAGGGATGTAGCTCAGAAGTAGAGAACTTGTCTAGTGTTAGCAAGGTCATGGGTTTGATCTCTAGCAGTGGACTACGTCCCACCGCCCCCCAAAACCTTGCTTTTGACAAAAGACAAGAAAAGTAGAAGTGAAGATAGCTAGTCTTCAAAAGATTAAATAGCTGAGTGTGGTGGCATATGCCTGTGATCCCAGCACTTGGGAGGTTGAGGCAGGAGGATCACTGCAAGTTTGAGGCCAGCCTGAGCTCCATATAATGAGTTCAAGGCCAACCTGAACAACATAGCACAACCTTGTCTCAAAAAACCAAAAAAGAAAATAAAATCTTGGACTGGGGATTTAGCTCAGTGCGCTGCCTGTCTCAGAAGCACAAGGACCCGAGTTCGATCCCTGGTACCAAAAAAAAAAAAGAAAAGAAAATCTTAAATAAATTAGGATGCATTCCTATGGTGCAACTGTGTCAGATACATTTAACGTCTGTCAAAGTTTTGTGCTTCTCTCGTGTCGTGTCCAGTTGTTGCAAGGAAGCAGTGGTCAGCTAGAACCTTTCCTAGTACTGGTGTAGAATAGGGGTCTTTGGTTCTGACCAGTGGGAGTGTGAGTAGAAATGTTTAGTGTCACCTTTAGCCTTGGCTGGATGTTGCCATCCAGCATGAGTTTAGAAGGTACCAAGTATGTGGAAGTCACATGTTCAAGTTGGCAGGGCCTCGGGTCATTCTGGATTCCTGTATAAGTGCTAGGAGCAGAACCTCTGCCTTTCTTCTACTTCCCACTCAACCACCAATTAGATATAAGTGAGAAATACACTTTAATTAGGTCATTAAGATCTGGGGGCTTACTTGTTATATTACCTCATGAATAGAGTAGTCATTAAAACAGGCAAACCTGAATATACTGATTTGGAAAAATAAGAAAAAAGCAAGATTCAGAGAAAAAAAAATTTTTTTTGTTTTTTTTTGAGATAGGGTCTCACTATGTAGTTCAGACTGCCCTGGAACTCACTGTGTAGCCCAGGTTGGTCTAGAAGTCACAGCGATCCTCCTGCCTCAGCCTCCCGAGTGCTGGGAATATAGGCATGTGTCACCATGACCGGCTCAGAGAAATTTTTTTATGATTCCTATCTGTGAAAAACTATGCATATAGCCTTGTATGTACATAAAAATATCTAATATAGTTATCCATGGGGGATCTGCATAGAGATTTGGAGGTGATAGGGATGCTGCTGTCTTTTCCATTATACCCTCATGTGCACTGGTTGTTAAAATGTTAGCATGTACCATTGTCAGTTTAAAAACTGTAGTCTGGAAAACAAAAATGAATCGCTCTGCCTACCTGTCCTCTGCAAAATGTGTCTAGGTGTGTGGGAGGAGTGGCTCATTGTTAGATCCCCTCCAGCCCTTCACTGTGACAGATGGGCCGAGCTGTTGGCAGGAACGTCTTTGTACATGGTGGCTCTGCTGAGATACTTAGTGAAATGGTGTCACCATGCGGTTTCTGCCTTCGAGGTCACCACTGAAGCCAGGATTGCTACACATTGAATGTCAAGGGCACCTGAGTCCTCTCCTTGCTTTACTTATAACTAATAAGTAAACTGCCTCTCAATAAGTACCATACTTTTCCTCCTCTAGTTTTAGCATGGTCATTGCTGACCACAAATGGTCATGAAACAGCAGCCCTGTTGTCTGTGGAAATGATAATGATATATTGCTCTTAGTTGTGATATATTGAGCATCTGCTACATATAAGTACTATGCCAGGTGCTTTAGGTAACTATGTAAGTTCGTATAGCACAGGTACATGTTTTACTCCACTTTTCAAATGAGAAAAGTATGGCTCAAAGGGTTTAATAATGACACTGAATATTTACTGGGCGCCTATTATGCTCTAGATGCAGGGAATACAGTGACTATCAATAAGACCCAGTCTCACAGGTTATCCAGTTCTATCAGGACAGAGTCCACACCAGGTGAGAAACTGCCCAATAGAGAGAACTTTCATTGAGCGCTTCAATGCCGGCCCCTTAGTATAAGCAGATTAAGTGCTATGGTTTGGATGTGGTTTGTTCCCTACAGGTTTATGTGCCTTCAAGGTCAGCCCTCAGTATGGCAGCCTTGAGGTTGTGGGCATAGTGGGTCAGGGCCTCCTGGATGTGAGTTAGGTCTGATAGAAGTGGGTGAGTTCCCATAGGGGTGGTTTTAAAAAGAGCAATCCTAGCTCTCTTAGAGTTCCTGAGAAGTTTAAATTCAGAGCAGGAAGTATCCTGCCCCCACCATGGTGAAAAGCCAGGGTGGTAGTGTATGGTTTTTGGAGGGAACTAGGTCTGAAAGTGTTAGCATTAAGTCCACCAAACTGGTTGATCCCTCTGCTGGCCACCCGTACACTGCACAGAGCTTAGTGTTCTGTGTGCTTTCTGTGTCTGCCAACAAGATGAGGGATAGTCATTGGCTGGGAGAATTGCCACAGCCTGGGCTGTACAGAAAAGGGACCTCTGCAGCAGGGAACCATCTCATAAACTCACAGGCTGTAAAGGTAGGCAGGAAAGCAAAGACCTGGGGCACACAGCCGACTTGGAGCAGCAGCGTATAGCCCTTGGGCAGACACCATTGACCACACCCAGCAGGGAAACCAGGGCAGGTTCTGGCACATAAAAATCTGTGGGTGGAAACAACATAGCACTTAGTAGTGAGTGACTCACTATTCCTCTTCCATATTTGGTGAATTTCAGTGCTGCAGACCTTGGAAAGAAATCACTCATTTAAACACAAGAAGGAAGTTTGGGGACTTGTTTCTCTTTTTCTTTGTTGGTTAATGGCAATTTGGGTATTTTTTCTTTTAAATTTTTTCCCCTTTTGCTCTTACTCTTTTTTACTTTATTTCTTGTTTGTTCTTCTTTGTTATTTTTATCTATTAGCTTTCTTTCAGTACTGGGGATTGAACTCAGGATCTTTTGCTTGCAAAACAGATGTGGCTCCACTGAGCTAAAACCCCAGCCCTTCTTTTACTTTTTAATTAAATCATTTACTTCACTTTCCCCCACCCTCACCTTTTTCTTTATTTGTCAAAGTTTATTTCTTTCATTTTTCCCTTCCCCAGCACCTCCATTTTGTTAGTATTATCATTAAACTTTATTAATCTGTATATATTTAGCTGACTTTATGCTATTATTATTGAATTCTTTTCTATTGGTAATGGTGGTATAGCTGTTGCATTTAACTATACTGCAGTAACGTAGACTGCCTGTCAACATTTGGTTTGTCTTTGTGTCAGTATTATTGGTACAACTCTCTTTTCTGTTGTTAAGGGTGGTATGATGGTGGCTTTTATTGGTTCTCATAGTATGTCAGTATCCATTTTCTTCTTCTTTTTTTTAATGATTCCATTTTGTTTTCTGACTGTAATATTGTTGCTGATTTTTTTTTTTTTTTTGCTATTGCCTATGGTGGCATAGTTGCTATTAATTTATTTATGCAGTGTACCAGTATTTGATTTGTCTTTGTGTCATCAACATTACTGTGGTTAATTTCCAGAGAACCAGTTATACTGCCCCTTCTCCACCCCAAATTAATGGAGGTGGTCAGATCTTGGGATCAAGGAAAGATCTATAGTTAGACATGCCCAGAGTGCATCACTGGAAAGCCTTCACTAACTAAAGAGATCTTCATACTAACAACAAAGTCTTCCCACTTTTATCAATGCTCAACCCTCAGCACAAAAGAAAAAAAAAAGCACAAGAAAATAGGGAAACAAAGTATCCCCCAAAATTCCCAACCCCTCCAAAGCTAAACAATGGGGCATTGATGGAGTGGCTATCCAAAGCAAAACAGCTGAATTATACAAAATAATAAAAGAGGAGGAAAAAAATCAATAAGGTGCGTGGTGAGCTCACAGTTATATGATACAACTAAATAGGTAATCGACAATACACAAAATGGTCAGTGACTTTAGGGAAGGCACTAATAAAAAGCTGGTTCAACTAAAAAAATTATAGAAAACATGAATGACCAGTTTAGCAAAGAATTAGAGTCCATGAAAAGGTGCCAAAGTCTGAAGATAGAAAATTATTGAAAGTATGGGCAGCAGAAGTAATCAGTGTGAGGATGGAGTGTCAAAATTAGAAGACGGCTGATGTAGAGGACCATGTACTCAGAAATACCTTAAAAACAATAAG